GTGCTGGACCTGGTGCTGGGGGAGGAGATCAGTAACAGTGTTGTTGTTACAGGTGCTGGACCTGGTGCTGGGGGAGGAGATCAGTAACAGTGTTGTTGTTACAGGTGCTGGACCTGGTGCTGGGGGAGGAGATCAGTAACAGTGTTGTTGTTACAGGTGCTGGACCTGGTGCTGGGGGAGGAGATCAGTAACAGTGTTGTTGTTACAGGTGCTGGACCTGGTGCTGGGGGAGGAGATCGGTAACACTTACGACAGAGAGCGTCTCAAAGAGCTTATTAAGGTAAGATCATTTATATTGTTTTAAATTTTTTGTACGTGATATGATGGTTTAGAAAACCAGCAAATTGAAGAATGAGAGACTTGTGCGACGTTTGAAAAATTTATTGAGGAAACGTTTCGCCAGCCAGTGGCTTCATCAGTCCAATACAGAGAAAAAGATGAGAAATAGAATGAGGTAATCATTCTCTCAGTCTGGAGTCTGTGTTTAGAAAAAAATATTTTTCTCAAAACTGATGGACTTAACACATCGACTCCAGTCAGAGGGACTGATTACCCCATTCTCCTCACCGTTCACCGTTTTCCTATGTATTGGACTGAAGAAGCCACTGGCTAGGGAAACGTTTTCTCAGTAAATGTCTCCAAATGTTGCACAAGTGTCTCATTCTTCAGTTTTTTATTTGTATTTATTTATACCACTAAACCCGCGCGGATCATTCATCGCAAGTACTGTTGCGGGCTCGATCCTCGGTTCAGTAAGCTCAAGATATGCTACCTAGATGTACTCGTCTAACTGCCAGACTGCCCGTGTGTGAAACTTGACAAGCAAAAGTTATCACCATCACAGAATCAGGTATTTCAGCGGAGATATAAACCGAACTAAGCTGCGTATAACTGATGAAATATGTGAATACACAGCCAGAGGCTTGGTCACAGTATGTTGTCCACACACCTTGTAAGACAGGAAGACTTACTAGTAAGGTTCCTGGTTCAGTGTGTGTGTGTGTGTGTGTGTACTCGCCTATTTGTAGTTGCAGAGTCGAGTCTTAGCTCCTGGCCTTGCCCTTCAACTTCCAATTGTGACCCCTTGTTGCTGTGTCCCATCACTAAAACATCCTGTCCCTATCCACGCGTGTGTGTGTGTGTGTGTGTGTGTGTTTTGTGTGTGTGTGTGTGTGTGTGTGTGTGTGTGTGTGTGTGTGTGTGTGTGCGCGCGCTAACGTATATAGGGTTCCATATTAATAGCATCTTAGCTCCTGTCCCCGCCCCTCAACTTGCTGTTAGCTAGATTCACGCCTAGCCTCGTGGGCCTCATCGTACCCGCTCTTTAAACTATATATGAAGGCTGCCTCCTCCACTCCATCGAGATCATTCCACTTCCCGACCACCTTGAGACTGAAGAAATACTTCCTGACATCTCCGTGACTCATCTGCATCTTTAACTTTCAGCTGTGCCCCCGAGTACCTGTTTCTCGCCTCTCAGCCTGCTCCTGTCAATCCTATCCATTCCTCTGAGTATTTTGTATGTTATCATGTCTTCCCTGGTTCTTGTCCTCCAGTGTCGTTAGATTCAGTTCGGTTCGCCTCTCCTCGTACCAAGCTTCATTCATTACATACTACTGCACTTTCTCTTTTTCTTAAGGTGTTTTTTCATGTGTGAGTTCCATGCATACTCTAAGATGGTCCTGACGTTTGTTATATAAAGTGCCCGGAACAACTTTGTTGAGATGCCCGAAGACTGTTCCTAGATTTGCCAGACGAACACTGGCTGCTGAGGTCATTCGGCTGATGTGAGTTTTGGACGATATTTCAGGCACTGCTCACCCCTAGGTCTTTTTTTTTTTATTTTTTTTTTTTGATGGAAGTCTACAGCCTCTGTTCCCGGAGTTTATGCTCTGTGTCCGGTCTTCTGGCCCCTTCCCCAGTTTTCATAACCTTACATTTGCTGGGGTTAAAATCAAACAACCACTTGTTTGATTAATTTTGCATTTTGCCCAGATGCATTTAGAACCTTTTTCTGATGCTGAAAATGGTGTAAAATACCGGCAAGTTGATGCAAGATACATGTACAACAGTTGGATATGTTCATTGTTGGAATGTTTCGCTTGCACAGTAGGCTTCCACTACACCTGCTGCCTCTGTATTTGACTGAAAAAGCCTGTTGTGTAGGCGAAACGTTTCAACATAAATATACCCAACTGTTGTACATGTGTCTTAATCATCAGCCTTTTCCTGTCCCCATCTGATATCATTTTGGTCAGCCTTGTCTCTGTGACAGCTACATTGTCTGGGGTTACCTCAGCTGTTTATTCTTTCGGTTCGTCACACATGTTTGATAATCCATCCGGACGTGTGTGTGTGTACTACTGTGAGGTTACTTTCTCTTATCATACACTTGTTTGTTTTGTCTACTTTTTTGCAGGAGTGAGGGGAAGTAGGGCAGGGGTTGGTGTGTGTCACTGCAGGGGGAGGGGACAGGGATAAAGCTACAGGTAGGGAAGGGGTGGTGCGGGAGTTGGTTCTGGGGAGGTGGGGACTGGCCCACAGTTGGTCCTGCTGGGAAAGGGGCTGGGGTTGCATCTGTAGGAGTTTCATGAGGTTGGTTGCTCCCTCCTCGTGTCCTTGCACCTGCTTCTCTTGTCCGTGCCTGGCGGGTCTGCACGTCGGCCGGGTCACCACATGAAGACCCGGGCCAGGCCAACCTACCTGTACTTCTACTTGGTTTTCACGTACTCTGCTGTTCCCTCTCCGTTATTTCCTGTCCATCTCTTGATATGCACAGTTGTAGCATGGTTCCCGAGGCAAGCTTTCTGCTGCAGGATGGTGTTGTTCGCTAGGAAGTCTTTCTGTTGCAGGATGGTGTTGTTCGCTAGGCAGGTTTTCTGCTGCAGGATACTGTTGTTCCCGAGGCAGGTTTTCTGCTGCAGGATACTGTTGTTCCCGAGGGAGGTTTTCTGCTGCAGGATACTGTTGTACCCGAGGCAGGTTTTCTGCTGCAGGATACTGTTGTTCCCGAGGCAGGTTTTCTGCTGCAGGATACTGTTGTTCCCGAGGCAGGTTTTCTGCTGCAGGATACTGTTGTTCCCGAGGCAGGTTTTCTGCTGCAGGATACTGTTGTTCCCGAGGCAGGTTTTCTGCTGCAGGATACTGTTTGTTCCCGAGGCAGGTTTTCTGCTGCAGGATACTGTTGTTCCCGAGGCAGGTTTTCTGCTGCAGGTTTACTGTTGTTCCCGAGGCAGGTTTTCTGCTGCAGGATACTGTTGTTCCCGAGGCAGGTTTTCTGCTGCAGGATACTGTTGTTCCCGAGGCAGGTTTTCTGCTGCAGGATACTGTTGTTCCCGAGGCAGGTTTTTTTCTGCTGCAGGATACTGTTGTTCCCGAGGCAGGTTTTCTGCTGCAGGATACTGTTGTTCCGAGGCAGGTTTTCTGCTGCAGGATACTGTTGTTCCCGAGGCAGGTTTTCTCCCTGCAGGATACTGTTGTTCCCGAGGCAGGTTTTCTGCTGCAGGATACTGTTGTTCCCAAAGGCAGGTTTTCTGCTGCAGGATACTGTTTTTTCCCGAGGCAGGTTTTCTGCTGCAGGATACTGTTGTTCCCGAGGCAGGTTTTCTGCTGCAGGATACTGTTGTTCCCGAGGCAGGTTTTCTGCTGCAGGATACTGTTGTTCCCGCGGCAGGTTTTCTGCTGCAGGATACTGTTGTTCCCGAGGCAGGTTTTCTGCTGCAGGATACTGTTGTTCCCGAGGGCAGGTTTTCTGCGCAGGATACTGTTGTTCCGAGGCAGGTTTTCTGCTGCAGGATACTGT